GATCGTGGCTGCAGTATGGCAGACACACACACACCTGAGCCTCTTGCCCCAAGCTCACCCTCTGCCTTGTGCTGGGAAGAAGTGGACCTGGGATGGGAGGAGATGTGTGATTTAAGACATCTGGCCATCAGTCCTAAGCCCTCTGCTTCTTTCCATGATCTTTTGTATATGTGTAGGTTGGAAAACAGGGGAGATGGGCGTTTCTGTGTAACGCCACACACGGCCTTAAACGGCTCGACCACCAGAGTAGTGACATCCTTTTCGTTGTACTTCTTTTCCCCTCTCATTGTCTGTGCATCTCCACCACCCCTTGCCTTGAGGACATGGAGGATGGATGTGTCCTCTTGCATGTGCAGCTTAGTCAGGGACAGGTGCTCAAAAAGAAGGAACAGTCATGAATCGTGAAGGCCGAGGTCGTGAGCACTGACATTGCATTTCCCTGTTTAGCTGCTGGGCATTTGTAAGAAGGAAGTTGGGTTGACCCTGGGGTTGCTTTATGGGTTCAAGTTGTTTGCCTTTCTGTCTGGTCTGAATCTAAGGGTGCAGGTATCAAAATGTCTGTAACATGAGGGCCTGCTTGTTGGGGTTTCTGTCCTGTCCAGTTCCCACAGCCGTTTAGCCCCAAAGAAATAACACGGAGGTCTCCATAAGATTATAAACTGGTTGGCCATTAGTTCAGGCTTCGTATTAGCTCTTATAACTTATATTAACCCATTATTCTTATCTATGTTAGCCACATGGCTCGGTACCTTTTTCAGTGGGGCAGCTCACATCCTACCTCTTCTGTGATCTGGGCAGGACTGCTGGAAGAGCTTCCTTCTTCCCAGAATTCTCCTGTTCTCATTGTTCTACCTCTACTTCCTGTCTGGTTTTCCCGCCTGTACTTCCTGCCTGGCTACCAGCCAATCAGCGTTTCTTTAAAATATAATTGACAGAATATAGAGTTGTCCTGCACCAGATGTCCTCACAATGGCTTCACCTATCTTGAGCTTGCCGTTTTAAGGTGACATTATATTACAAAACCAGGATGGTGCTGTCCAGCCCTGCCTTCACTTTGGGGGGGAAACCAACACCATCGCCACAAGGAAGACCTCCACTCACTGTACCTTGAGAAACCAGGAGGAATTCAAGTTTGCTGTGAGGAGGAAAGGAAGGGTCTACTTATGGGACACTGAGTAAAAGTGACCGACATTTCCTGAGCAGTAACCTGGCCCAAACGTGTCTTAAGCATCTCACATACAGAGCTTGTGGGTCCAGGGAACAGATTCTGTTAGCTCCTCATAAATGGATAATGAAACTGGGTTACAGGGAGGTTCTATAACCTGTTCCAGGTCACACAGCTAGAGAATGGTTTCAGCCAGGGCACCAAGCCACGCTTCTAACAGTTACCCCCATAATATCTGTGGCATTGGCTCAGCTTATCCGTCACCTTCTTGAGGCAGATACCCACGAAGGGGTTGTGGTTATGGGTCTCTCCCTTTTGCTTGTCTGGGTCCTACACAGAGAGGCCTAGTGTGCAGAAAACAAGAAAAGAAAGAGGAGTCAGTTGTTAGGTAAGAAGATGGAGTGAGGCGGATATAGACGAGCCATGTGGCCGTGCCAGTTGGAGGGGATGGCACGAAGCAGAGGCCGGCAGGAGAAGGATGCCAAGATCCACAGCACACACAGCCCGTCTTGTGTGTTAGATGTCCACTGAACAACGACTCTTAGGCTCGCTGGGACTGTTTTCGTGGTTTGCCGTTAACTGGCTGGCTGACCGTGGAAGGGGCCATCTCCACATGGAACCCAGTGTCTGCCCCTCGGCTGCTTTCAGTGACTTCTAGGTTTTGTTTCCCCCGACTTACTACCACCCCATTTGACATTTTCAGTGGAAGGTGCTCTGCAGTCGCAAAGAAGCTTCAGTTGGGGGTACAGTCACCCTGGTTTTTAGCAGTGTGGAGCCCTTTGAGTTTCTGCAGCTCTGAGTAGGGCTTGATTAGAACATGGACACTTTTCTTCCGTGCCCAGCTGGAAACCTTGCCTTGGCAGTGGCACCGTGAGACCCTTGGCCTGTCGTTGGACCCTTGCAGGGAGTAGACAGAGGGCTCACTTTCTTATGCATTAGAATGTCCTGACTTCTCTGGCCCTGGAACGTGAAGGAATGTATTGCAGTTGTGATTTGACAATAGAGCTTCCTTGAGGCCAAGCTCAGCTTGCTGCACACCCAGAGGGGTGGTTTCTGTCCTTGGCCCATCTTTAGTCTTGGAAGGAATGTGGAGGTTGGTCCAGCAGCCACCCACATTCTCCAGGCCCTGTGTGTGCTCACTGTCTGCTTCATCCAGGACTCAGCTCCCAGGATACAGGCCTCACTCAGCCAAGAGAAAGCTTCCCTGTGATGGTTTTCCATCTGACGTAAGCAGAGGAGGCTTTTCTTGCTGCACACTGAATGGGGCCATCATGAGGATCTGTGCAACTCTGAACTGGCACTGTGGGGCCTTGAAGTTTGAAGGCGCATTCATCTCTGTGCCGTTTTATTTAGCCAGACCCACGGTCCACCCAGGATCTAAGGGGAGTGGTGCCTCCATTGGATTCCCAGCTATGCATCTCCTGTGTTATACCTTTACCTATACCATTCTTGATTGCCCACAGAGACAGGATGTCAGAGAGACCAGAGATCATCTTCTTCATGTGCAAGTATGGGCAGCGTCATTTAGCGTGTGTGCCCCCTTTAAAGAAAACATTTTGCTTGTTCATTTTACATAGTGTGTGTGTGTGTGTGTGTGTGTGTGTGTGCATGTGTGTGCATGCACATGTGCAGGTGCGTGTGCTGTGCACTTGTACACATGTGTGCACATGTGTGTGTGTGTGTGTGTGCGCGTGTGTGCCTGCACACATCATGTGCATTACAGTCCATATGTGATGGTCAGAGACAACTTTACTTCTCGCGAGACGCTTTTCACCATCCACTGTGTTCTCTAAGGCTGCTGTCTTGTTTCTCCTGCTGCACTGTGTGTTCCAGGCAAGTCGGCTGTGACCTTTCCGGCAGGCAGGTGATTCTCATTGTGTTCACCCCCGTCACCAGAGGAATGCTGGGCTGATAGACAGGAGCCAGTATTTGGCTCGCTCCTCCCTCTATTCCTCTCAAAACTTGGGTTACAGGACTCGAACTCCTGTCTGCAGGCCTTGCTGCAAAGCACTTTTAACGGCTGGTGCTCCTCACAGGGTTCCGATTTCACCACCGCATTTTAGGCTGGGGTCTAGCTCTCCTTTGTTTTTTCTTTCTCCCTGATGTCTGCCTGGGCTGGAATGTCTGTTTAGGTCTAGCATGTGCCAAGTATGGGGGTTGAGGACTGGAACCGTGGCTGTAACTCTTACCCACAGGTGTAGCCCTTATCCACGGCTGCAGACCTTATCCACGACCGTAGACCTTATCCACGGCTGTAGCCCTTATCCATGGCTGTAGCCCTTATCCACAGCCACAGACCTTATCCACGACCACAGACCTTATCCACGGCCATAGCCCTTATCCATGGCTGTGAAGGTTGAGCGCTGTCCAAGTGCAGATCTAGAGAGGGGTCAGGTACAAGGAGAACTACCAGGGGAGCTGGACCATCTGAATCAACTTTCCAGGAGGCTAGCAGAGAACAAACCCATTAGCAATGACTCCCAGTCCTTGATGAGGCTCAGGTTGAAGTGCTTTCGTTAAGGAATGTTTCTATTTATAGTTGGTGGGAGCTGGGCCGGGCAGGAGTTGCTGTGGTGGGCTGGGGACCCCCCTGTGATAACTGTCACCTGTGATAGTCCAGCTGCGGCTAGTTGTAGCTGCTTCTCGTGTATATGCATTCTTTTTCACATAACACCATGCCTTATTACCTGGTGGGATGGGCTAGAAGCCTTTTGCATGAAAGGATGTGTGCCTATGAGGAAAGGAGGCCAGGGGAGGGCACATTTGGGGAACTAAGCAGGCTTATAATGTGTGACACTGGCTTGGTTGGTAGGTTCCCTGTTTCTGACCTTTGTCAACTTGTTGGTGAACAAACAGATCCATTGGCAAAAGCATTTCTTCTTGTTAGACTCCTGTTACGGTCCCATGTCTTCTCATATGTTAGAGTGGTCTGTGTGCTGGCCTCGGTCATTCTCTATGAATTCGGATTCACAGACACGGGCAGGGAGCGTCTGGAATCGACAGGGACTGAACAGAGAGAAGCTGCCATGCCCGTTTGCTTTGCCCTGGTTCTTTGTAATCGACCCTGTCCTCGGAAGGGAGGAGGATGCACGATCAGTCTATGCCGACGTGTGACTGCAGCCTAGGTTGCAGTCTTCGGAGTGAGGGGTAGGAGGCTGAATGGGCTTTATGGGATTGGCCACACGGTGATTTTTGTTTGTTTTGAAGTCATCACTACAGCTTCACAGTGAACTGAATGCTTAGAATTTCACCTCCCATAATCACGTTTGGCCCGCAAAGCCCCTCACCTTTGCCCTTCTTTTACCCCCAAAGGATCAAGGGTCCTGTAATAAATGAACCATGCCTGGTTAAACAACCACTGCTTAATGAAGAAGACCCAAACCCCAGGCTGTTCTAAACGAAAGGCATGGCGGGGGTCGCTCCGGAGCTCTGTGGTGTGGTTGTCGATGTGGCCCCAAAGTAACATCTGTATTTATGTTCCACCCAGCCCTCCCCGCAACAATGGCTGGATTGCGTCTGTTTAGCCCTCCGAGTAACATTTCATTTCCTGACTTTATAGGTCGCTATAAAATCCATCCGTAAGGACAAAATTAAGGACGAACTAGACATGGTTCACATCAGACGAGAAATTGAGATCATGTCATCTCTCAGCCATCCTCATATCATCGGTATTTATGAAGGTCAGTAATTCTTTCCCCTACTTCTGTACCACTAACCATTTCACATACCACAGGGGCCTTGCCAAGACTTTGAGGTAATTGCCCTTCTGGGCAGAAGCCAAAGAGTTTTGCTTCATGATATAAAAATAGCCAAGCATTATCTCTTCCTTGCTTACCTTGAATGGAACCAGATACGTGCCGGGCAGCTCATCGGAGGCACGCACCATCTCTGGCTACTGCCTTCTTTCACTGGCTACTGCCTTCTTTCCTCTTTGCGGTTCCTTCGCTTTGGCTGTTGCTAAGTAACCTGTCTTATTGAAAGCCAGTATGCTTAAAAAAAAAAAGGCTGCTTGCTTGGTGACCAGTAACAGTGGGTCCATTGTCAACGTCACTGTCACTCCACAAACTGATGGCCACGTTCAGCTGAAGAGGTCCTGCAGGTCCTCCCCTGTGAGCTGGAAATGAGTGCGGAGGGGTCGAAGAGGCACTGAGGAAGCAGGCCTCGGAGGCTGCGCAGTTGGAGCCCAGCGTGTCGCTGGCGTCCATAAAAGCGCAGGGCAGGGAAAAGCTTGTAAAAGGCTGAGCTTCGGTTTAGCTCTGGTCCTTTACAGGAGGAAATAGAATGCCTAAACCTCCCACGATCAGCAGTTCCTCTTCATAGTCCGCAAAGACGTTCCACATGCGGTGACTGTGACGGCAGAGACTGAAACACAGACATCAAAGCCAGGGAACAGTTTCTCTCCTCACTCACAGTTGGGCCAATAATTCCTTACCTAATTTTTTAAGAAAACTAATTTCTCTCTATATATGCAGTCTTTTGTTTATTAGATTATACTGCTCAGGTTGTTCTTGCTGGCTTTTATCATTTTATATCACTGTGTCAAATAAAGACTTCCCATAAAGACATTTTACAAGGATTTGTAATATTTCATTTAGGGGCATACCATAATTTGTTGAGTCGGATTTCTTTTGCCAAACATAATTGTTACTCCAGATTTTCTGGTTGTTATAAACAGAGCTTTATTGATTTCTATTCTGATTATTTTCTTATGGGAAATTACTTTTAAAATTATTCAGTCCAGTGTTTTCCTAATACATACATACATACATGCATACATACATGTGTAAATAAAGTACATTTTATTTAAAATATATTTTAAATATATTTAATGTATATATTAATATATATAAGCATGTAGTTATGTATATTGATATTTTAAGACAGGATCTCACTGTGTAGCCTTATCTTGTCTGAAGCTCAAAGAAATCCTCCTGCCTCTGCCTCCTGAAGGCTGGGATTAAAAGTGTGTGCTGTCATCACCCTGGCTCCCCACATTATTTTTCAAATATGTGGTTAAGTCAGAAAAGATGAACTTCTTTAGAAAGTGAACTTCCTTTTCATTTTGGGTCCATAAAAATGTACCAGGTAAAGGGAGCAAGATGGCGTCCCTAGATTTTTAGCTGTCCTGCATCTGCCTCCATCTTCTCTCCCTGGTTCTTCTCTGCTAGAAGTCAGTATTGGCAATACCTTTTCTGCTTTTTTTTCAATCTCAGGGTTTGTTTGTTTGTTTCTGTGTTTTCTCTTTTAAGTATTTATGTATTTAAGTAAGCAGCATGTAGTGAGGACTACAGAAGCTGCAGTGTTCAAACTCTTCATGCAATGTGGGGCATCCTGGCTGATCCTTAAAGGTTTTTTGGAGGGAAAAGTTAGAAAAAAAAAAAAAAAAAACGGAAAACCACTTTCAAAAATAAATCTAAACTTGCCCGGTGAAGGAGGGGTTTATGGATGTTGGAAGTGGGTAGACACACGAATGTGGGCCAGGGTGAATTTATTTACTTTTTGAGGGTCCGTTTCCATGGAAACCCAAGCGCTGCCCTGTGTGGTATGGACTAGGATGAGCCTGTGATATGTGAGCATGGTTGTTTCTGGGCTGCGTGGCCTGACAGTGTGATCAGAGTCTGCACCCAGCGTGGGCTTCTCAGGATTCTTATTTGGGAAGGCCACCCGCAGTAACTGACATCCGGCCCTGGAGAAACTGACTTCAGGTCAGCATCAGGGAAGCTAAGAACCAGACAGGATCAGTGGGGGACAGGAAACCATTGTCCTCCCAAAGGGAAAGTCCAGAATGAATAGTCTGCTGCCAAGGTTGCACAGGTCATGGATGATTCTGGAAGAATCTGCATTATAACATTAAAGACAGCCACCCATGGGAAGTAAAGTCCTTTTGGTGACTAGGACTGGTCGCTAGCATGGCCTCAGGAGGGAGCTTGGGCCCCAGTTGTACCTTGAGAGAAGGTTTTAGGCAGTCAGAGAAGGGCTTGCGTTTTCAGGTGAGACAGACTTGGGGTTCAGCCCTAAATCCTCCAGTGTGGCCTAGACATGAGACTCTGGGGATGATGTTGGGTGTCACTGACATACCTGTCAAATGGGAATGGGAGGGGTGGGGATGCAGCTCAGAGGCAGAGCACTGGCTAAGTATCTTATCAGGCCCGACAGCACCACAGAAAGGATGGTGACCGCTGTATCTCTCTGTAGGACTGTCGTTAGGATTAAACGGCATAGCATTCACAGGAAGTCAAAAATAATAATTACAATGGGGAAATCCCGTCATCTCATTCCATGAGTACTACATGAGGCTAGTAGCTACCATACTGGATAGTGTAGATCTAGAACGTTCTCATCGGAAGGTTCTTCTGGGCAATGCTGGTATATATTGTTTATGCACCATATGCATGGGTTGCTTTTTATTTTATTTCTGGTTAAGTCAGATTCCCTTCATTGACTCTCTAGGGATCTCTGCCTGTCAATAAGTTAAATGGGTCGAAGAAATCTCATTGTCTTCAAGTGTTTTGGAACGGTACATGCTATGCGAATAAAATTCTCAGGGACGTTCATGTGGTGTGTTGGTTTGTTCGTTTCTCCAAATTCACAGCTTCCAGGTCTGCTTTCCCATATCCGCTGGGGATGAGGGCAGCTCCCCACTTCCCTGGGGGGCTAGGAACAGGCTTGCTGAGGCTATTCCAGCTCTCAGGGCTCTGACTATGACCCCACTTTCCTTGGTCCCATGACTTTGTCTTCCTGACTGGCATCCCTGTCTAGTTCTGAGGGTGGAGTTGGAGAGCCCTTTACAGAGGTCTCTTTGGATCTCACTGCAGGTCTGTGAGGTGGGCAGATCACGCGTTCCCATTCGGTAGCTGTGGACACCGAGGCCCCGGAAGGGTAATAGCGACTCGCTGGGTACACCAGTGTGCTGGGACTGTGGCAACGCAGTGACTGCTTCCTTTCAGTTCTAATGACTGGAGTCAAGGCCAAGGTGGTGGCTGTGAGGGACCTCCTGAGGCTGTGAGGGAAGGAGGCCTTTGAGGTTTCTCCCTTGCGCTTATAGAAGGCCAACTTCTCACCGGGTCTTCAAACTGTCTTCCCTACGTCCATGAGCAAGTACCGTCTTCCTGGATCGTACTAGGTTAGGGTCCATGCTGATGGCCTCATTTAAACTTAATTGTCTCTGTGAGGACATTTAGATAGGGCCACATCTTGATGTAGGGAGTACATTAGGGCTTCAACCTCAGTTTTGAGCAGGGGATACAATTTAGCTGGTCACATCGCTGGCTGGTGGCCCTATCAGTTAGGTCTCTTGATGGATCGAGGCCTCTCGACAGTGTTGTTTTTTAACTCCACAGTGCCTCCCCGCCCTGCTTTCTGATCTTGTGCCTTGTCCTGCTGTCTCTGGCTCGTTCTTTTCTGAACTCGATGCCCATTCAGGCCTGATCTTGGGCAGAGGAGGGGGAGGCAGCAGGGGCTAGAAGGGAGGTCTTGCACATTTGAGAGATTGTGTGCTGATCTCCTGGCCACTCACAGAGTAAGAGGGAATCTTCTGGAAACTGAAGGATGGCAGCCACCCGGGAGTCCGTGTTGAGTACAGACACGTTCATTTGCTTAGTGAATCACCCAAGGGGCCTTTCGGACATTAGCTAAGTGGGTAGGTTCTAGCAAAGCACTTTACAGTTTCTTCTTCAGTAAGGACCATTAGAATCATTCCATGGACAAATTTGTGTGTATATGTGTGTGTGTTTGTGTGTGTATGTACATGTATACACACAGGCAACACATAAAGATACACACCAGCACTCACCCACTTCGGTAAAACACTGAGGCACAGTTTTGATAAAAACAATACTGTGTCTAACCCTGCGTGTTTGGTGACTGGGTTCTCCCGAGGGGAAGGAATGTCATGTTTGGCACGAGTGGTCAAGTTAAAAGCTTTATGATTTCAGAAGACAATGGCATGGTTAAATACCCGCTGTGTCTGAGGCGCCAGCAGATCCTTAAAACCCAAGGGGAAGCAAGTTCCGCTCTTGCGCAGAGCTGACACGCAGGAAGGGGAGATGGGAAATATCCAAGGTGACCAGGTAGGCCTGTCTGGCTGATGTTTGAGCTGAGTGCATTTTGATCATCCATTTTTGAAACGAGTCCTGTATTTGGAGAAGGGTCTAAGCCCTTGTTGGATCTGGGCTTTCCAGGCCAATGGACCCGCGCATGCAGATGCTCAGAGGAGAGAAGCACTCATGTTGGTAGAGTGGCAGGGGACGGATGAAGATGAGGAGGGGTGAGGGCATGGGTAACAGAATGTTCTCAATCAGGGTCACATAGTGTAGTCAGAGGCTGCTCATTGATTCCTGGCTGCCCAGCTAGCTTAGATTTGAAATAATCTCACAGAAACTGTACTATTTAAATCACTGCTTGGCCCATTAGCTCTAGCTTCTTATTGGTTAACTCTTACATAATGTAATTCATTTCTATTCTGTATATCGCCACGTGGCTGTGGCTTACAGGTTAAAGTTCCCAGCATCTGTTTCCAGCGGCTTCATGGCTTCTCTCTGACTCCGCCCTTCTCCTTCCATGCTATAGGCCAAGACAGTTCTTTATTCATTAACCAATAAAAGCAACACACAAACAGAAGGACCTCCCACACCAACATGGGCTAAAGGAGACAGTGCTGCTCCCACACAGGGAACAGACAGCTATTGGAAGGTTCTGAGGAAAATGTACTTTTTTTTTTAACTTCTAATTTCAAATTTGTGTATGGTGTGTGTGTGTGTGTGTGTGTGTATGTTTGTGTGTATGTGTGTGTGTACGTACATATATGTGGAGTTCAGAGGACAACCTGCCCATTGTTCCTCAGGTGCCCTTCACCTTTTGTTTGCAAGAGGGTCTCATTGGCCTGGAAGTTACCACGTAGGGTGGGCTAGCTGGTCAGTGAGCCCCAGGAAGCTTCTTGTCTCTGCTTCCCCTCTCACCAACTCATGGATTTACACACATGCAGTCCCCCATCCAGCTCTTCAAATGGGTTCTGGGTTAGAAAGAAGATCCCCATGCTTGTGAGTCAAGCCATCCACCAACCGAGCCATCTCCCCAACCTTATCAGAAAATGTGTGTAACTTAGATTGATATATTACGTATTACATTATTGTTTATATTTTACAAGACAGAGTGCAGTGGGCGTGAGCCCTGTGTTAGACGATATACATGTATTTGTCTCATTTAGCCCTTCTAGCCGATAACTTAATATGGGCATTTTGACTTAGAGA